GTCCACCACTTAATTCGTCGGAGCGCGTCGTACTGATGCTCTGAGAGCTCTGTGGCGCAGGCATGTATGCAAGTACGCATGTACGTCTGTATGGGTGGATGGAAGGGTAAATGGATGCAGAATGAATGGCTTATGTACGGATGGAAGGATGGATGAATGGATGGATGGATGAATGAATGGATGATATTATTGACTGCGCTATCGAGGTCAGTGGCCGAATGAGTGAAGAGATGATGGGTGAGTGACTACGTGCAATCTTAGATGTACAGATGCTTAGATACATGGACGGAATTGTGATCTCGTTTTATGTCTAATCTGGTTACTGTATGAATGCATACATTCATGATACATTGTTACATAGTTACGTAGTTCATGTCGATGTTTTCTTTTCCTTGCAAAACTCTTTCGGGACACCCGTGCTCTGGTTCAATACGAGGCTGCCGCTGTCGATTTCGAAGCAAGAAAAAGACTGCAAGGTGTCCACAGGGCTCTTGGTCCTGGTTAGTCTTGGTTAGAATGGCTCGAATTGGGTCTAGGAATGTCTCGGGATGCAGGTTGAAGCTTTGGGGATAAGTTCCACCCCCTAGACCAAAACCCCAAGATCCAACGAAACGATTAATTAGCCTCGGCCCAAAGGGCGCCCCAAAGATGTAGATCCGTGACGAGGCCGGCAGCAGCCTGTCGCAGATTGAGCAAGCTGCACGGAGCCCGGAAGGACAGGGCTGCACCTTATTTCTTTCTCGGAGGTCGGAGTAGGGTTCCCATCCTCATTCTTGGTTGAGTCGTGGTGCAGAACATGATGAGCTCGCAACTCGTAAGTGTAGTGTAAAGTATACGTTATATGCCTGCTCTTTGCCTACCGAGCACCCGCAATGTATCCAGTAGCAATAGCTGTAGGCGCAAGAGGGCTACACCATGGCCAGATGAGGTCCAGGAGTTCTTGGACGCTTGCAACTCCCATGATCTACTTGCGGATACTTGGGGCGAGGGCCCCAGAAATGGGCTAGGCGAGCTTCGCTCGGAGCCCACGTACGAGCAGCCGAGCAGCTCCTTAGATTCTCGGGGGGAGGACTGTGCCGGTTTGCGGTTCTTGTGCTATTTTTGCTTCTGAATGGGGCGCTTTGGCTTGCGTTTCGAGAATCTGCAGGGGTAGGATCTGACTGCGAATAAACATTGTGTGCAGCATTTTGTTAGGTTCTTCATCTTGACCCACCCACTCAATGTCACCGTTTTTCAATAGAGATGGAACTTAAGAGCTGGTTGTAGATTGAACTGATGGTCCATGTTGTGCTTGCTCGTCATGATCTGCGGTGTGCTGAGGTGCTTCGGGTCAGACCTCTGAACTGACACTCCCGCGTTTCCGAAAACCAGAGCCCTGTGTTGAACAAAGGTCTATATACCCAAAGGCAAAGCTTGCAGGTTGTTGTACCCAGTGCCTCATGGCCACTGGGCGTAGGCCCTCGAACCGAAACTCTAACCACAAGAGAAAGCAACAGAAAGCTTGGATGGCGGAAGCCGAGTTCGGAGTCAAGAACAACTGGTACTAATTCAACTTCTTGGTGCCTATACAATTGTAGTATTGTATACCCAGGTCATCCTTTCGCAGCTCTGCGCCTGCCTGGAATGCCCGACAGCGGTGTTTGGCCCATGCCTTGGCAACCAATCATTTCTGTCACTTCTTTTCCTGGGTAATGTGTATTGGTTGTGGCGACTTTGAAGCCCAAGCCTGTGGTCAAGATTTCCTCGGTTTACAGGACACAAGGAGGCTCAATGCAGGAACGGCAGGAAGTGCCACACAGTACATGTTCGTGGCCACTGTGCTGGCACTGGTGGTGTGTCAGCTGAAAGAACTGACGCACTGCATGGCCAAAGCTGGAATGACAAATCGCCTTTTCCTCCGGAGCTGTGATTCGCAGACAGAAGCGGCCCTCGGATCGTAGGGGGTTTGCCTCCTCGACTTGGGAGCAGGCACCTGGCTGAAATTTGCCAAGGGCATGCTAACTTGGTGCCTTACATTGCCTCATCGTTGACGGCGAAGCTTGGTGTTTTACATGTAGCACATTGAGGCTTGCGTGATGGTTGAGTGCATGTGTCATTAAACGGTTGTGATCTGTGGCGTGTCCTTCGGGTGGTGGTGACCGATCTGACGCCGCGGACGTTCTTTGTGCGTCTGTTGGTGGAAGGTGAGCCTTTGTGTAAAGATGCATGCAAAACAAGTTTCGAGCTGGTTCCTGAGGCTGGAGTGGTAGTTCAGGTTTCTTGTTTGAGTGGTGAGTGGGCCGCGAAGGTGAAGGTAGACGTGGGTGTGCCAGGCATATGTCGGCATGGTCGCTTGAGGGGCGGCTTGCTGTTTCGTTTTCGTGAGGGGCCTGAAGAGCTGCCTGACGCGTTGCCCCTTGCGCTGCTAGACCTCTGGATGCAACAGGAGAGAGAGAGAGAGAGATGTTGTTTTTATATGCCGCGCAAATAGGACACACACACACACATGCTTGTAGCGACCATGTCGGACAGTGGTCGGTATGCTCCTGTGCATAGACTCCGATGATGGCAGCCCTCAGCTTTGTATCGGCACACAGATGTCACGACAACTTTAAATCAGCAAAGCAAAGACAGTACAAGTAGTTTTAATGTGGGGACAGCTTGGCAGAAGAAGCGGCCACGATTACGAATTGCAAGTATACATGCAAACTTTTGAATTCGTGTACAAAAAGGCGGGGGACATCATTACCAAGTTTATCTCCGTGGTGCTGCGCCTCATTTGTTAGCTCTGTCTTTTATCATTCAGGCGAAGCTCCGGCAGCAGCGATAGCAGCGACCTGTACGAAGCTGAGTGACTTTTTGCGCTGGCCTACAGTACAGTCAAGTGCTACATTCGTATACGGCATACAGCTGTTGTTGCATGGTGGCATTCGCCCCAGCAGCACCCGCTCGAGCATTAGGATATTTGAGCCAGGTGTAGCGCCATCACTGTCATCTTCGCATGTACGCAACGGCACAAGTATTCTGATGTGATGAGAACAAGCAGCATTGGCTAAGCACCCTTGCCGCACCCGCCCAGGTGCTGGTGTTTGCAAGCTGCCGCTGCGCCGACCTTGGGCGTTCAAGTTTGGCCAAGAGAGTACCGTACTACACCTAACTTTTTTCGTCGGAATCCACCCCAAAGCCCTCCATGGAGGTTATCTGCTGGTGCGAGGAAACTGATGCCACACTGCTACACATCACCTAAGCCGGAGTCCGAAGCTTCCGGGCAGTTACGTCTACATAGTGTAGTTGGTAGCTGTTGGGCGGTTTTGGTTTTCAAGGGCGGATACTGGTAGGATGCTGTATCCTTGGCATGTTTTTGGCTCGAGCACTTAAGTCAGGCCTAGTTTCGCTCATTTCCTTCAAAATCTCTTCAGCAGAATCATTCGCAGACACGGAACAAGGCATATTAAACGTCACCTGCTAGTATCTCAAGGCTCAGAGAAATATCATCTTGGCGGACCAGTAGTCCTTGGTGTGCGTCAGATTCAGATTCTGGCTCTAATGACAGGTTGTGTTGCACAGGCAACACTGATGGTATACCGGTCTAGTTCATAAATTACCAACCCTGGAAACATGAGCCGATGCGGAGAAAATGCGCCACTTACCTGGTGGCATGCCTTCCTGGTCTTTGCATGCTGCTTCCATACCAACGGCGCACAGAAGACCTTGGCACGAGAATAAGGGGGGCGGGGTTCTCACAGTCTTTAGGCTTGCTCTAAGCTCTAACTTGGGTGACCTGCCATGGGCCTGGAGTGTATAGTTCTATCCCAGCTTATGGGAGATTCCGAAAATTAGGGGTACCTTATTTTGGGGTCCCTATAATAAGGATCCTACTATTAAGGGTACTAGATTAGGGTCCCCTATATTCGGAACCCCCCCTATCCCAGCTGCAGGATATTGCATCCGGGCAGCCAGGGGCCAGACTTTTCTCAGCAGTCCACAAGCAAGCCCCCACAACTCAGCATTGTCCTGGTGTCCTGGCGTTCAAGCACCAAGGGCATATCGTAAGGTTTTATCAGAAGGGCCTCGGAATTGTTGCTGTATTTATGGTCATGGATCTCCAGGCTGAGACTACTAGAATCCCGAAAGGCTGAGTCATCAAGCACCTGTTTTTTGGCAGATCCTCTGTGCACCTGTCGCCACATGTGTCGCAGAGTCTTGCCGTTCTCCATACTTGGAAGGACTCGAGCTCGAAGCTGGAAACCAACATGTTGGCCTCGGCATTATATGGGGGTTCCCGAAACTAGGGGACCCGAATATAGCACCCTAAATAGTAGGATCCTTATTATAAGGACCCCAAAATAAGGTACCCCCTATTTTCGGAAACTCCCATATTAAAGTATTTTTGATGCAGGGGCCTTTATATTACTAGACTTGCGCCTGACAAGGATCAAGGTCGAAGCCTTTGTGGAGACACTCTGCAATGACTGCCACCACTGGATGCTTGAGGAGTTGCGTCCTGCCGCTTTGACCAGCAGTTGCGTCACCATTGGTTCACCAGCGTCAGCTTGCCAAGATGCGTAGGTGTAAATAGATCCCTCAAGTGGCTTCCCAGGAAACACTCCTTAGGATATTCAGCTGAGGTCTGGCTAGATGAAGCTCTTCGCGACAAGATGGATCTTCATGTGTATGCATTCGGCCACTTGCTTGTACGTTCCGCAAGTCCGTTGCGGGTGGTTGTGGCTCCTTCAACTGTGAGTTTAATCTGCTGACAATACAAGAAGCAATGCTGACTTTGTGTCTAATTCTGGCTTCCAGTGCTGTTATGATATGACTGCTGCTCTTGTTCCGAGCCTTAGCTCAGCAAGTTCCCGAGCAAGTGCAGGCTTTATAAGACGTCTTCTTGAAGGTCATTGCCAGGGAGCTAGCGGTTCGAAACCGGCACATCCTTTGGTCAAGAGGTTGGAAGGTGCAGTTAAGGCTGTAAGCGGATTAAAGGTTCAGGGAGGGTGCTGCATAGCTTGGCTTTGTCAGGTTCCTTGTCATTTTGGGCGGGTACCGATTCCCAAGCCTTGAGAGTAAACCACATGCAGAGACTTCCCAGCCCAGGAAATGCAAACTACGTGGGCAGTGCTTCCTGTCGGAAGATGGCCAAGTGTTTCTTTAGGGCCTGGCGTCGTGAGCAGTCAGTGAAGTTTACAGCCTTGCGGGGGGTTAGCCATCACGACAACACTAGTTCACATTATCGTGTGCCCTGAGGTGATGCACATTGAACCTGATGTAGCACCTGTTACATGATATGGGTTGGACGCTATGTATTCTCTTCCTGTTGTCTCTGCGGGAGCGGGAGGTATGTCCATGCAGAATGACACTTAAGACCAATTCATGAACTATGTGGTACCGAAACTGACCAATGTATTCCGCAATGTAGACCTGATGGGCCACTGCTTGTGGCCCCGAAGTCAATCTGCTGGACTTCTGTCTCATACGCGAAACTCGAAACCTACAACTCCTAAATCATAAGCTGCGGTACTCCAACTCATCAGGCTTAGACTTGTAGGCAGCCGTACCGAGGATGTGACGTGTCAGCATGGGCAGAAGGAGTGCGATGGCATCTCGGCCGGCTTCATGGACCCGATAAAGTAGCAGTACTGACAAAACCAGAAGAATACAATTACTCACAAAGGGCCTAGTGCTCACAACAGTACATTGTCAACTTACGGTGCAGATAAACCGACAACCACTAATTATTGAGAGACAGAGCGAAACTACCGATTACCGCACTGCTGCCACCACTGCTACGAAATTACTTAGTTACTTGGTTAGCTTCGCAAAGTGAAAGTATAGGCTGCAACCAGACTCTCAGGCCTAAACCCAATATAAACGCTAATCCCTTAGCACACCTCTTTGAGACGATGCGGCGCAGGCAACATGGCGATCGAATGCGTGGCGGGCTTAGCGCACACATGTCGTTAGCCCGACAGAGCTGATCTGCAGGATTCGGTTCAGGGCCCATGAGTACCTAGTCTATAACATAGAACACAAGCATAACATATTGTATATAAGTATACATACACATATACACACATGTATATATGTATATATATAT